TTTTATAAACAACAAATTTATTTAGAAGCGTACTTATATATCATTGAAAGCTTAATATTTAAAATTTTTTTCATTTTGTCCACTAAGTGAGTTATGTCCATTAATTGTTTGCTAGTACATTTACCTCATTCGACTTACGCTCCAATTTCTATTTTTACCAGTAATGGAATTCTATAACTCATTAACACGCATATAACTCATTATGCAATCGTTATATGCGTGTAACATAGTTGCATTTTATATAAAAGTAAAACAGCTGCACAACTGTCATTATAAATACATAACGACTGCATAAGATGCATGAGTTACTGTAGTAGAATACAGGGGCTAGGTAGTTAAGTAAAGTTATCATATACGCAACAGATCATCAAGTGTCTTCGTCCTATTCAGTTTCGCACCATATCTTCGCAAAAATACCGCAAAGAAGGACATCATCGGACGCGCAAATGAGACTTAAGAATTCAATTTGTCTCGGTCAGTAGTTGCTTAACGCACACTCAGGATAGAATGAACGGCGGCGAGCATTATGCGCAAGTTATCGCAGCTCGCGTTCGTCCTGCTCACCAGTACGACAGCTGCGATTTTCTGCACGCTATTACTATCTTCGGATTTTCTCACCACCTACAGAAGGTCTTCCGCATCACGGAAAGAACAGGTGTTCATAAGAGAAGAAAAACAAGAAAATAGAAGGTCCATCTCTGCTACAGAATTACCTAATGCGCATTTCGCGAAGAACGCGACGGCTTCCTTGGATGCGAACCTCCTTGCAAGAGGTTTCACTGATAAACAGGTAAAATGTTGTACTATCTTATATCTTATATTGCTATGCAATCTTTTACCCTTTACGAGTAAAATTAATTCCGTTCTTATGTATGTCAATATTATGAGAATGAAATATATAACAACGCTAATAATAATGATAATTTCTATTATTTGAAGCATTTTATGGAAATTGATATAGATTTGCTAATTGTAACTACTTAAGCAAAATATAAATCGTGATGATATTAAAATGACATCAAAATGATTCTAAAATGTATGTGTGATCTAAAATTTATATTTTAATCATAATGCATTTTAACGTCATCTTCACGTTATTGTGATTTGTTGTTTTATACACA